CCAACAATCTGAGTCAGATAAAGATAGCCCAGAGATAGGCAACGGTGAAGATGACCCTTTTCCTCCAGATAGACCAGGACAAAATTTGGACAAAAAGCCGATCCATATTGTGGTCCTGCCCAGTGAGTCCCACATCAACAAATTTTACGGGGACGGTGATCCAACCTTAACCAACAGGTTCAGTGAAGAGGTCAGGGCTGCCTGGGCCTCGAGATACATGTCACCAGAGGAAAGATTAAGATTGTTGATGGGCAGTATAGGAGAGACGGTTAGGGCAGAGGTCAAATGCCACGATAAAACCATCCAATCAGATCCAGATAAGGTGCTGGATCTAATTATGGAGACCTTTGGGGAGAGACGGTCGGGATCGCAACTGCTATCGGTGTTTGTAGGTATAAAGCAGAGACTGGCGGAGAGTGTGATGGAATATTCACACCGAATGAACAGGGCCTTTGAAGCTGTAAAAGGCAAAATACCCGACATGGATGCGCGCCTGCTGAGGGACCATTTCATCGAGGGGTTGGCGACCCCTATGGCAAGAAGATATTTGAAAGAAGAGGTCTACAAAGACCCACAGTTGACCTTCCTTCAGGTCAGGAACTCAGCGATCCGCAGGTCCGAGGATGAGGACCAATCGAACTGTTCGGTAGACAAAGTCTCTGTGCCGGAACAGAAACAATCCCCACCCAAAGGGACCGGCACGATGGAAACCATGATGGCTCAACTGTTGGCCCACCTGGATAAGGTTGACCAACGATTGGAGAGGTTAGAAAGCAGGTCAACAGCAGAGACTCAGGGCAAAAACGGGACAAAACATAGACAGGTTGGACAGCCGCGACCCGCTGGTCCATCACTCCAGTGGACAGCTGACGGTCGACCAATATGCCTGTCCCGCTCACAACCCGGACATATGGCACGGTACTGTCCGGTGAAACGATCGCCCTCTGTAGGGCAGGTTAGGGCTACAGAGCGGCGAGGTTATGGCTTAAGAAACAAAATGGGACAAACAATGAAAGAGTCTCAAACAAGACTCGAAGAGAAATTATCAGATATTGAAAAAATGAACTGTGAAATGAACTTGGATGTTAAAAAGTTTCAAGTGAACAATTTGTTGGCTGAGAAAAATGATGATAAGGAAGAAATTGGTAGACTTAATAATGAGATCTCAATGTTAACCATGAAACTGGATAGGGAAAGTTCATGCAAATTAAAAGCACAGGAGAAATGTTCATCTTTAGAGTGTCTGTTATCTGAAGAAGAAAATAGAAAATTTGTACCTGGTTTTGCAAAAATTGCCGCACCGTTGCATGACTTGGTAAGCAAAATGACAAAGAAACACAGTAAGGAGAAAAAGAAAGGCAAAACACAACTGATAGGTGAATTATGGACTGAGGAATGCCTGAACTCGTTTAAGCTACTGAAAAATGCTTTGACCGGGGCGCCGATATTAGGATACGCAGACTTTGACAAACCATTTCGGCTAGAAATTGACGCCAGCTCTAAAGGTCTGGGAGCTGTACTATCACAACAACAGGAGCAAGGTTTCAGGGTTATTGCGTATGCCAGTCGGGCTCTGAAGGAATCAGAGAAGAATATGACAAATTACAGCGCCATGAAACTAGAACTTTTGACATTAAAATGGGCTGTGACTGAAAAATTCAGGGACTATCTATTAGGTGCTAAATGTGTGGTATACACTGACAATAACCCCCTCAGTCACCTACAGACAGCAAAGTTGGGATCCATCGAACAGCGATGGGCAGCAGAATTGGCACTCTTTGACCTAGAGATAAAATATCGCCCGGGGCGGTCCAATGGCAATGCGGACGCTTTATCAAGGAATCCTTACGAGAAACCGGGCGATGAGGAAGAAACGCTGACAGGAATATGTGAGGTCAGAGCGTCAACAGATATCCCTCATGGGGTGCAAGTGATGCAAAACGGGCAGACTGTGGTGGAGCACATATCCACAGAGCCCCGACATATGGACATCAGTGATTTTAATTGCCTTAATCACAAAGAGATAAGAGATGCCCAGAGAACGGATAGCGGATTACAGCCGCTATTGAAATACGTCCAGGAACAAAAATTCCCAAGAAGAAGGGAAAGAGAACAATTTGGTCGGGAAACAAAGAAACTACTGAGTCAGTGGGACCGTCTCAGTATAAAGGATGGTGTTCTCATGCGGAGAATTCATGACCAAATAGACGGGACAATACACCAGGTGGTGGTGCCTGGACAGTTACGAGAAGAAGTGCTAAAGTTGGCACATGACAGGGCGGGACACCAGGGTCAGGACAGGACGCACAAAATATTACGACGGCGGTGCTACTGGCCCAATATGGAGATGGAGGTCAAACGCCATTGTGAGGCTTGTGTGAGGTGTCAGCATGCGAAAATGCCAGTTGTCAAAATGAGACAGCCATCAGGACACTTACTGGCGACAAAACCACTAGAGATTGTGGCTATGGACTTTACGTCGTTGGAGCAATCATCGGATGGGACGGAACATGTGTTGGTGATGACTGACGTATTCACCAAATGGACTGTCGCGGTGCCCACACGAGATCAGACGGCCAAAACAGTGGCAAAGGTCTTAATAGAACACTGGTTCACCAAATATGGCATACCAATACAATTACACTCTGACCAAGGAAGGGCCTTCGAGTCAGAAGTAATTAACCAACTGTGCAGCCACTACGGGATCAACAAATCTAGAACAACCACATTTAATCCGAAAGGAAACGGACAGTGCGAGCGGTTCAACCGCAGCATGCATGATTTGCTGCGTACTCTAGAACCTGAACAGAAAAAACGTTGGCCTGATTTTCTCCCAGAGTTGGTATATCTATACAACTGCACCCCCCATGCCACAACCGGCTTTTCGCCACACATGTTACTGTTCGGACGGGAGGCTCGACTCCCTCTTGACTTGTTCCTAGGAAAAAAGGAGAGTATGACTGGCTCATACACCGTACTAGAATATGTGAATGAACATATGAGACGAATTAGAGAAATGTACAGGGTGGTACAGGAAAGACTAGAACATGAAGCACGGCGAAGGGAACCGCCGGTACAGACAAAGGACCCGCCACTCAAACTGAACGACAGGGTATTACTGCGTAGCCACCCGTTAGGCAGAAACAAAATCCACGACCTCTGGGGACAGGAGATATGGCAAGTCGTGGAGATGCCTAAAATAGCCGGTGGCCCCTTTAAAATAAGACCCATCAATCACACCAAACAGGATCGGTGGGCGAATATTGCTCAATTAAAGAAATATTGTCATAGTCAAGAAGAGCAGTTACACACAAAGAAACCTAAGACAATTAGGGAACCGGAAATTACAACGGAAATTCACATACCCATCCCGGAACCATGTCACCATCAACAGCACAACAGCGATACACAAGGGGAGGATAACGGCAACAATGAGGATCCCGGTCCTCCCAGAAGCAGAGACACAGTAGAACAGCAGATAAGTGGTCCGCGGAGAAGTTTGAGAAACAGAAAGAATACGAAATTTTTCGTCAGCAACCGTCAATTCTTTCATGGTCGCGCTGGGATGAGAGCAGACTGTTCAAAAGCTATAAAAATGAACTGGTGAAGACACCAAACGAAAAAAGGTGGATGTGAATTCTAGAACTGCTTTGTGTCTGAGGAATATGATGAAGACACATTTGATATGTGAAATAGGGATAACTGTCAATCTTTTACGAATGTGACGACATTGACAGTAAGTGGAACAATAATTTTTTTTACGGCGGTGCGTTGGACATTGAAGGAGTGCACCTGCCAAGCGTTGTTTGTGGTTGAAAACACACACAAAAAAGGCGGGGGTGGATGTAACTAGGGTAGTTACCATACTATGGTTAACAACGTATTACAGTCTGATGCAATAGTGCAGATGGTGGGCTGATAACGATCACAAAGCCAAGGCGTAGTTTGGGAAGCGATACGACAAAGCCGCTGCGCAGTTCACAGGCTGACGTAACAGGATGCAGGTGGTGTGGACTGATAACAAAAGTCTAATAAAGACTGGTACGAGACAACTGCGTAGTAATCGGAATGCGAGATAATCGGATTGAACATAGCTATGATAGAACCGATTACGAGTACGAATACGAGGAATATATAGGACTGGTAGAAAGCGCAGAACGTGGTTGAGGCTGGGCTGAGTAGGAGTATCAAGTTGGTTACTGAACGTTGTAGACGTATTGTGTTAATAGGGACGATAGACATGTGCATTCGGTTATGTGAAGACTAGTGAGGACGGTTGGGGGTCAGTTGATTCATTCTATTATTGTGAAGCATTTCTTTTGATTCATGTAATAAAAGGATCAATGGTAAACCTGCATCTTCGAGTATCTATATTGTGGTCGATGTTGTGTAGAATGAGTAAATACACTCGTTAACATTTGGCACTACAAGCAAATAGACTCGTTACACACATATATATATATATATATATATATATATATATATATATATATATATATATATATATATATATAAACCAATGATCTCAGAACAGCTGATCTCAGCAAATTATCTAAATATCTCAAGGACAAATGATCTCGAGGCAAAATACAACAGAACAAAAGATATGGACAAAATATAGATTAGACAAAATATCTCAGATAAAATATCTTAACATATCTACAGCCTTTAGGATGGGACGGAGTGGTCTAGCGGTAGAGAGCTGGACCGTAAGTCTCGAGTTCGGATCCGGGTTCAAGTCAGTAGACCGTCCATGAGTCCACCCAACTCTGATGGGTACCTAACTCACATTAGGGAAAGTAAAGGCTGCTGGTCATACACACTATCTCTTCATATGCTGAGGTCACAGTAACAAGTGAACTCTACTTCACTTGCCCCATAGACCGTCAGGTTTGAAAAGGAAACTTTACAGCCTTAAAATATCTGAACTGAGAGTTTTTAAGTAATGGTTAAAAAAAAAAAGAACATTTGAATCACCCAACCAGAGATGAGATAGGACGATGTTACGTCTACACCACAACAAAGAGCACCACAACAAAGAGCACCACAGCTCACAGAAACCGCACCACAACAAAGAGCACCACAGCTCACAGAAACCGCACCACAACAAAGAGCACCACAACAAAGAGCACCACAGCTCACAGAAACCGCACCACAACAAAGAGCACCACAGCTCACAGAAACCGCACCACAACAAAGAGCACCACAGCTCACAGAAACCGCACCACAACAAAGAGCACCACAGCTCACAGAAACCGCACCACAACAAAGAGCACCACAGCTCACAGAAACCGCACCACAACAAAGAGCACCACAGCTCACAGAAACCACACCACAACAAAGAGCACCACAGCTCACAGAAACCACACCACAACAAAGAGCACCACAGCTCACAGAAACCACACCACAACAAAGAGCACCACAGCTCACAGAAACCACACCACAACAAAGAGCACCACAACAAAGAGCACCGCAACTCACAGAAACCGCACCACAACAAAGAGCACCACAGCTCACAGAAACCACACCACAACAAAGAGCACCACAACAAAGAGCACCACAACTCACAGAAACCACATCACAACAAAGAGCACCATAGCTCACAGAAAACCGCTCCACCACACTCTAACGATCGGAACTTGATGGGTTCTTAACTACCAAATAACTCCCCGCTTGTGTGTTTGTCTAGAACTCTCTGGGAAATACTAAAATGTGGTTTCCCAATAACGGTCCGGTCATTACGACATATTGGAGGGCACTGCCGTCTGCTCAAAGAGCTCGGAACTGCAGCTCTGGTTAATCATATTGTCGTCCCATTCTCTGCTTGGGTCGTCCTCTCAAGTTTTTTTTTTTATTTCTTTTTGCTTGGGTGTAATTTTAAAATCATCGGTGTATTATTTTTTTTTCGTAACTGTTTCAGTTGAAAATGTAGTTTTTTTTTTCGGGAGGGGGTTGGAGGGGGGAGGGGGGACTTGGAGGTTCTGGGTTAAAAAGAATGTATACACATTCTGAAAACGTAACAGAAATAACTTTTACATATTTCCTCAGTGACAATGAATTTATATTCAGGTTTGTTTTAGAAAAGATAAATTGCTGTTGCTTGCAAAATCTGTAAAGGCGGAGTTTTTATAAGTGTGTTGATTATATCCCTTATATTTTAGAGAAGATTTGTGAATGTAATAAAGCAGTTTAGCTCAGTTTAGCAGCAGAGCTTTAGCTCATCAGAATAAGACTAATGTGCTCACCAGGCTAACACATCTTTAATGTGCTCACCAGGGTAACACATCTCTAATGTGCTCACCAGGGTAACACATCTCTAATGTGCTCACCAGGGTAACACATCTCTAATGTGCTCACCAGGGTAACACATCTCTAATGTGCTCAGCAGGCTAACACATCTCTAATGTGCTCACCAGGGTAACACACCTCTAATGGAAAACAAACCATTTACTCGGGATTGTCACAGCGAACCAACATCAGGGGAAATAACACATTTGCGTGTAGCCCTTTGTACACAACTCTAGTTGATTCAACTTAATGAAGCAGCGCCGTATTTTTCCCGCCATATCCTTTTGATCTAAATTTTAAAAAACGCGCAGATTAAACAAAACAAAAATTATCGAACAAGAATTAAAGTTTGCATAGGACTAAACAATAAAATTGTATTAAAAAGCAGAACCCTAACACAAAGATACTTTACGATTGATTTTTTTTTTTTATTTTTTCTCAACAGAAAAATCTACGATGTTTCTTTTATTTCGATAGATTTACGTTTCTCTACCGTTTACACACGTTATCAATTTAATTTTAAACTAAACAAGACCGCCATTTAGCCCAAGTAAACAAACACGGTGCCATTGTGTAGCTTCTGTCGTATGTATAGTTTGTGTTGGCGATAAGCAAATTGATCCGTTCATAATTCCTTCGGGGAAAACAAAAGAAGGTACATATTTAAAAGATAAATATTTTACTCTAGCAAAATTTAAAACAATTTTAAAACTTTGTTTCATTGTTGGGTAAAAATTCGGTCCGATCTTTTATGTTATGGAATTAACAATAAAAAGCTGCGATGCTTTGGACATTTTACATTTTTTCGATTAATTCTAATTTAAAACAAAAGGTATTATTTTTTTTTTAATGTTAATTAAAAAAATTTAAAATAAAACATGTGAAATGATTTTTTTTAAAAACTGTAATCTTAGTTAGAAAAAAAATGTACGTTTAGACGTGGTTCACTTTGTTTTTTGTTTTTGTTTTTACCAGAAAGTTTTTACAGAAAAATATGTCAAAGAAAACTACCATCAAACACACACCTAAATACAGCAAGAGTGTCGTATTCTCAAACACAAAACGGCTGTTAAAATGTATCAAGTGTATAATTTATCTAGAGGATCAAAGAGAACTACCATCACATTTTCCTAATTACAATACGAGTGTCATATTCCCACAACAAAGCTATTAAAATTAAGTGTGTAATTTATCTTGATTATCTTCTAATCTTGATAGTTACCCAGTAGTAGACTAATTTAGTTTTCGATATGCAGCTTAATTTGATATGCCCTTAACATGTTATTCAGTGCAAAACTTAATTGTTTTCAGATAGTCACACCTGTCTAGAAGGTACACCAATATTCCACAGACCATATCCCATAATTTTTAGCCAGGCTTACATCTGCTTAGATCATATCCCATAATTTTAGATAGTCTCACATCTGCTCACCCCATATCCCATGACTCACGCAAATAGCCCCCCCCCCCATCTACTTCCCTCTCCCCCTCCCACCCCACACCCCCACTAGCAGGGACCGTCCCCACAACTTAAACCAATCAACTCGGACACCGTCCCAACACAAGGTGACTAAAATTGATACCGTCAGATCACAGAAAGGACGGAACCTGGAGTCCCCCCCCCCCCCATATCCCCCCCCCCCCCCCCCGTCACAATACAGCTCGACCTTAATTTCATTTGGTCTTAGCTGTTGTGACGTAACAAGATTTCTCCGAAGCTATTGTGACGTAATTAGTTTGAGTGTTTACTACGGTGACGTGACCAGCGTTAGCGTAACTTGTTGGGATTGAAATATTTTCTTTAAATTCTTGCTGACTTTTTTAAACTGATGTTGTAATTGATCATTTGTAATGTTTTATAGATGTGACGATTATGATGTCTTTTAATTACACCGCTGATGATGTGTAAGAAGAACAGGGATGTTGTTATCAACCCCTTACACTGAAGCCGTTGTTGCTGATTTAAACCGCTAATGTCAGTGATGGTGTACTACGGGTACGAACCTGTGATGTCAGTGACGGTGTGTTACGGGTACGAACCTGTGATGACGATAATGTGTTCGGGTTACCGTGACCTCATGAATCACCCTGTGTGAGCACTTGAACTAGAAACTTGGCTGAATGTTAGACACCGCATCACAATCAACACCCCCCCCCCCACTTACACCATTCAAATCATGTTAAACACCGCATCACAATCAACACCCCCCCCCCCACTTACGCCATTCAAATCATGTTAGACGCCGCATCACAATCAACACCCCCCCCCCCCACACCATTCAAATCATGTTAGACGCCGCATCACAATCAACACCCCCCCCCCCCCCACTTACACCATTCAAATCATGTTAGACGCCGCATTACAATCAACACCCCCACTTACACCATTCAAATCATGTAAGACGCCGCATCACAATCACCCCCCCCCCCCCACTTACATCATTCAAATCTTGTTAGACACCGCATCACAATCAACACCCCACTTACACCATTCAAATCATGTTAGACGCCGCATCACAATCAACACCCCACTTACACCATTCAAATCATGTTAGACGCCGCATCACAATCAACACCCCCCACACTTACACCATTCAAATCATGTTAGACACCGCATCACAATCAACACCCCACTTACACCATTCAAATCATGTTAGACACCGCATCACAATCAACACCCCACTTACACCATTCAAATCATGTTAGACGTCGCATCACAATCAACACCCCCACCTCACTTACACCATTCAAATCATGTTAGACGCCGCATCACAATCAACACCACACTTACACCATTCAAATCATGTTAGACGCCATATCACAATCAACCCCCCCCCCACTTACACCATTCAAATCATGTAAGACGCCGCATCACAATCAACACCCCACTTACACCATTCAAATCATGTTAGACGCCGCATCACAATCAACACCCCCCACTTACACCATTCAAATCATGTTAGACATCGCATCACAATCAACACCGCCCCCCCCCCTCACTTACACCATTCAAATCATGTTAGACGCCGCATCACAATCAACACCACACTTACACCATTCAAATCATGTTAGACGCCATATCACAATCAACCCCCCCCCCCCCCCCACTTACACCATTCAAATCATGTAAGACGCCGCATCACAATCAACACCCCACTTACACCATTCAAATCATGTTAGACGCCGCATCACAATCAACACACCCCACTTACACCATTCAAATCATGTAAGACGCCGCATCACAATCACCCCCCCCACACTTACACCATTCAAATCTTGTTAGACACCGCATCACAATCAACACCCCACTTACACCATTCAAATCATGTTAGACGACGCATCACAATCAACACCCCCACTTACACCATTCAAATCATGTAAGACGCCGCATCACAATCAACACCGCCCCCCCCCCCCCCCTCACTTACACCATTCAAATCATGTTAGACACCGCATCACAATCACCCCCCCCCCCCACTTACACCATTCAAATCATGTTTGACGCCGCATCACAATCACCCCCCCCCCACACTTACACCATTCAAATCATGTTAGACGCCGCATCACAATCACCCCCCCCCACACTTACACCATTCAAATCTTGTTAGACACCGCATCACAATCAACACCCCACTTACACCATTCAAATCATGTTAGACGACGCATCACAATCAACACCCCCACTTACACCATTCAAATCATGTAAGACGCCGCATCACAATCACCCCCCCCCACTTACACCATTCAAATCTTGTTAGACACCGCATCACAATCAACACCCCACTTACACCATTCAAATCATGTTAGACGCCGCATTACAATCAACACCCCCCACTTACACCATTCAAATCATGTAAGACGCCGCATCACAATCACCCCCCCCCCCCCCCACTTACACCATTCAAATCTTGTTAGACACCGCATCACAATCAACACCCCACTTACACCATTCAAATCATGTTAGACGCCGCATCACAATCAACACCCCACTTACACCATTCAAATCATGTAAGACGCCGCATCAAAATCACCCCCCCCCCCACTTACACCATTCAAATCGAAACCGGAAGTGCTTAATCCCCCAGCACAACGAACTACCTGCTAGGCTGTGGTTGTTTTTGACTTGAAATGTTACACCAGCGCAGTTTTTTGTTTTTGTTTTAAATTTACGCTTTTTTTTTAATTTGCTTGTTAAGCAATTCAGTAATCGGATGTTTTATTAGTAGGTAATCGGATGTTTTAATATTCGGTAATCGGATGTTTTAATAGACTAGCAAATGCCAAAAAGTATTTAAGCACCTAAAGCACTCACAGCTTTTGAATTAGTAATAATTTTTTTTTTGGCGTTTTCTTTTCCAATATTTCA